AAATCCATACTGATCTGTAGCTATTACTTTTTCACAGAATCAAAATCATAAAGTGTAAGCGAATATTTCATAGGTCACGTTCAGAAGAGTAATTCCTTTATAGTTGTTACAGATTATTTGATTTCCTTTCGTGTCAATAGGTAAAACAGACACACACCCAAATTTGAAATTCCAAATAAGGTTGAAACCAAATTTCTTCCTCCACAAAAGTCACAATTAATTTCAGGTTGCACCAGAACCACCACCAGTACTGGTCGAAACAGAAACAAAGAATACTGCAGACGAACCAATCTATGAAGCTGTTCTTCCAAGGGAAGAACCAGTTCCTGTTTGTGTTTCTCCTCCTCCACTTCCAGCACCGCCAAGCCGATTATCTTCAGAATCTCCGAAACCTACTCCTTCTGTATCGAGATCCAGCAGTGGAGTGGTAAGTGTAAATGTAGGATCGGTTAGATAAAGATGAGATGTTTATGTATATAGTTTTGTAGATAGTTAGTTTCATCGTTTCAACTTTAATGCTTATTAATATAATTAAGAATATTTCATTCAACTTTTACTAATATTTTGTTCCTTTCTCTGCTTTGCTTTTTATTATACCTATATTTACCGTTTACATTTTTATATTTATTTATACAATTTTTTATATCGCACTGCATCATTGCTCCGAGAATCTTACTCGGTAAAGTTATTTATTTAATAGAAGGAATAAATGTAATTTATTAATACCTTATGTAGAGCGAAAAGTCCAGAATGTGACAAAAAGATCCTAATCCTCACAAATTCGTTTACAACCATTGATCTTTATCTCCTTTTCGGCCTTTCTGTCTAACCCTTTTTCACCAATCAATTCGATCTTCTCGCAATGTTTATATTATACAGGGTGACTCATGACCAAATTACAACTGTATGTTCAGGGACCAAAAATAATATTTTACTTATATTTTAATAATATTAAAATAAAAAAAATTGTCCATAAATCCGATTTTCATAAATGTCTGTCTAAAAATTAAGTGATAGCTCTTTTTAGTTCCTAACGATAAGGTATATATTATTAGGTTTGATTTAATATCTACATGGCGTCATACACCTCGTATTGAATCGAAGAAATCAACGATAACTTGTTTCTCAGTCAATAATTTCGAATGTACTTATATAAAAAAGATCCTACCATGGCAGCCCTAGGGGATGTGACTTTGTAAATCACTCGTTTTGAATAACCAAAACAAGATAAATCACGATAGTTCTAGGTGATCTCAATGCAAAAATTTGAAAGGGACAAAGCGGAAAGTGTATAGGAAACTATGGCCTAGGAAATCGAAACGAGATAGGAGACCGTCTGCTAAAATTCTGTCAAGAGCGGAATTTCATTATTACAAACACATTTTTCAAGTTACCAAAAAGTATACATGCCGATCTGCCGATCTCTTAAAGCCGTGAAAACATATCCTGGATCGGACGTGGCCTCAGATCATAATCCACTTATCGCCAAGATTACACTCACCCTTAAAAATATTAAAAGACATCAAAGAATCCCTACAATATACACAAGAAAATTTAAAGAACCTAAAATAAAAGAATGCCCCAACATGAACTGCATGTGAACTGCAGAAAATTGAACATAAACACCAATGATATTGAAGAGTACTGAGATCGACTAAAATATTGTCTACTGGAACCCTGTAAAGAAATACTAAAGACTTCCGCAAGGAGAGAAGAAGAATGGATGAATGACGAGATACTCAATATGATGGAACAACGGAAACAATTTAAAAACAAAGACAAAAATACAGAGAGATAAACCACGAGATCAGGAAGATGATAAAGCAGGCCAAAGCAAAATACTAATAAAAAAAAGTAATGCAAAGAGATCGAAGACCTTTAGAATAAATATGATCTGTTTAATCTACACAAGAAAGTTAAAGAATTGGCAGGATTAAGAAAACAAAATCCCACTCATGCAATTCTGGATAGACACGGGACTACTATAACACATACGGACGAGAAGGTACAAAGATGGGCAGAATATATCGACGAATTGTTCGATGATGAAAGAGGAGATCTGGAGCACATAGAACTTACGCCAGAAGAAATAGTTCCATATATTACAAAAGAAGAATCAGAAGACACTCTTGAACCAAATTTATAGTTCAGACGTATTACCCAAAGAGTGGTTAACGTCGATTTTTATTTGTTTCCCCAAAAAGAAAAACGCAAGAGAGTGCAGCGATTACCGCACCATAAGCTTGATGTCTCTTGTGCTAAAGTTACTACTAAAAGTCATCCATAACCGAATATATCACAAACTGGACATAGACGTTAATGATACACAATCTGGTTTTCGCAAAGGCCTGGATATATACGCGTGATTTATTGACTATAAGAAAGCATTCGATAAAGTAAGACAAACAATTAATGTCTTGAAATCAAAGAAGATTGACTATAACGATATCAGGATCATATCAAGTTTATACTATAAACAGCTAACAAAAGTACGCGTTAACGAACAGCTGTCAGAAGAAATTGAAATTAGTTGTGGAGTTAGACAGGGACGTATTGTCTTCAATTCTTTTTAATGCTTATAATAGTATCTTTTAGCTAGTAGCTTTTTCACAGTAAAATCATATCACCTCAAGATTTATACAAACTGATGTCACTTGTATTTAAAATTACCATAACTTCAACCTTCAGTTGATGAAGTTGAGTTCAAATTTCCCTAACACAGCTGAGCACACCCGTACGGAGCTGCTCGATCTTTCATTGGCGTCAACATGGTATTATAATAAGGAAAATGTATTCGTGATTATATTGAAAATTTTAGAACTCTACTGATTAAATATACAAAAACGTGTCTTATTCTTAATAGTATAAATTTGATACAACAACTGTTTAAGTTTAATAATTTAAAAAATATTCATTTGAATTAAATATATTCAACAATTGTACACCAGTGATACGGGTATAAATGAAAGTAAAAGAAACTTAAATGACATTTTGGTGTGTGGCCAGAATGCCGACAGCGTTGACGATAATTTACAATCTTATAGAAGATCCTATATAAGAATTCTGTTTATGTTTCTTTTCATTTGGATTTCAATTTGATTATTCGCAGTATGAATATGTACGTATTTAATATAGTTTAATAGCTAATTCTCTGAGACCCAATCCCTCTAAAACCCAAGTCTGCGCTTTCCACCTTCGCACAAAACAAGCCAAGCGAAAACTCCAAATTGTGTGGAATGGCAATACATTAGAACACACAAACCAACCTATATATCTTGGAGTAATTCTGGACCGGTCCCTCACCTACAGACAACATTGCATAAAAACAAGAGGAAAAGTAACAACTAGGAACAGCATACTCGGAAAGCTAACGGGAAGTAAATGGGGCGCACGTCCTGGCGTTTTAAGAACAACGGCACAGGCACTGTGTTTCTCAACTGCTGAATATGCATGCCCCGTTTGGAGCAGATCTGCCCACACCAAACAACTAGATACTGCGCTAAATGAGACATGCAGGATAGTAACGGGGTGCATAAAACCAACGCCACTTTCAAATCTATATAGCGCTGCGGGTTTTGCAGAACCCTCAACACGCAGAGGCGCTGCAGAATACATAGAGAAAATTAAACAGATCGCGGACGATCGGCATGCCCTATACAAAGCTCGAACACCACGAAAGCGACTAAAATCTAGGAAAAGCTTCTTTGGAACAGTGCTGGATGAACCGCCTGAGTATTTTCTACTTCCCCAGGTTCAATGGACCGGCCAGACCCTAGACTTTAAAACGTGAAAAACGTTGAATAGGATAAGAACGGGGGTTGCTACATTACAATCAAACATGGCAAAATGGGGAAAAATAAACCAAGATGATGTGAACTGTGACTGTGGAGAAACACAGAATATGGAACATCTTACATGCAGAAACTGTCCTCATCGATGTACCCTTGAAGATTTGTGGCTCACCAACAAAGATGGAACCGACGTAGTCCGATACTGGGCCGAAATTTTATGAACGACATGTCCGGTCACGATAAAGTAAAGTAAGTTTAATAGCTTTAAAAACTAATTATTGTTGTGTATTGTGATTGTGTTTGAAAAATACCAAAGCAACTGAATAGTCGCTATAAACAGCTAGTGGCTAAATTATACATTTTTATGTGATCTTTTATAATACTATGTTATGGATTAAACACATCTTGTTTTTCGCATTATTGAAAAGCGAAAAAAGAAATTTCGAAAATGTGAATATTTTCTTCATTTTAAAAATCCAGTTGACTATAATAAAAAAGTTTCAGTGTATAAAAAATAACATTTTTTTAGTGCAAAATTCCCCAGTTATTAACTATTTTGATGTTTTGGCAACGCTGTGGGGTTCTGACGCCGCAAATCTTGAATGAGTGAAATGATTTTTGTAGGATAAATTCTATAGTGCCACAGCATCCACGGTAAACATATTATAGCTATGCATTATATGCAATGCAATCTATAAAAAATTACAGAATATGACCATTTACAGAAATATTGTTATAAAACAGCTTAAAAACATATGACAGATCATTATACAGTGCTAGTCATCTTGTTAAATATAATTTTTGGCTTCTGCCAAAGAATTGTGCCTTATTAATCTTGAATTGATCTGAAGAGATGATGCGTATTTTCATCAGACTTTTACTGTAGGCGTTTTGTATAAATTAAATCAAGTGACGATGGTCTCCCATTTGTCTAGTCTCTTTGACCATTCAATCCATTTCTAAACCAGATTAATTTATTTTTATTTACTGACAAAGACACAGTGCAACTCTTATTAAAATATTAAATTTGTTATTTTTCTTAAATATGGTATTCAATGTTCATCTTGTATTTGATTACAGCATCCAACTTGGAGATATTCACACGATCATCAACAACAACTACAACTGCAACAACAGCAGCAACAACAGCAAATGCTTCAACAACAAGAAATACAAAATAACGCCGAGAAAGAACAGAGACGCAAGTTCCGGGTAGAAAAGAAATTACAAGAACTTAATGAAAATAATGAAAATGAGAAAATAACCGATGATATTCAACTAGACATGGTGGAATTTGCTAATAATTATTTCAACGCTCATGAAAGAAGTCCTGAAGGTACTATAATGGCCACCTTAACGAGAAAGAGACAAAGCTCAGAAATGATTCCGAAGGAAGAGATGGTTATATACTATAAAGGGAATTCAATACCAAATTCCCATATTCATTTATATGATCCAGACAATATAAATATTGCTTGCAGTATATTCCGGGTAAGTTAAAAATATTCAGTTAGTTCATTTTTATGTTTAGTCTGAAACATTTCTTCATCCCAGATATATACGGTATCAAGAAGATTGAGCTCAGGTGGGTCTCTTTCCTTGTTAAGTCTTAGCTGACTTGAGTCCTAGCTATTCTGGAAATCTCCCAAAAATTTGGTTAGATATCGTTTGGGTATTTTTCTTGTTAGGAAATGCCTGACAGGCCCAGTTGGATGTTTGATGGTTTCTTGTACTTGTATGATATATTTCAGATAATTTTTGGTTGGTATAACCTGATCCTGAATGTCGAGTAGTGAACTTTCTGTCTAAGGGAATATATTTTTCTGATATCAACCAATAGATCGACGCTGTATTATCGACATTGTCTTACAATGTCTGCCATGCAGGCGCACGTTTTTTCTTTCTTAGAAAGATGGTTTCCCAGTTAAGGAAAATTTTGTGACAAAAAGGTTACCTACTGCGCATCTAAAGTACGTCTCAATCTGAACATGAGTTCCTACATTAGAATCTCCTTTCCTAATTGCTTTCCTATATCCGTAAGTCACCTATTTCCCAAATAACGTCGTTATTTAGGGTCACCTTCCTCCTAAATAATGTCGTTCTTTCTCTTTCATTACGAGGAAGATGTTTTTTAGCTTTGTGAGGTGTGTTCGTACTTTTCGCTGAAAATTTTCTTTTTACGCCGTTTTACTCCACTAAAAATACCTGATGCGCGTAATTAAGCGCGGAACATGCGTCCGTATTAAGTGCCTTAAACAAATTTTTACTGTTAAAATGTGAGCTGATCTACTGTTTTACTCTTCGTATTAACTCAAAGTTAATTGGTCTCCTAAAATGTCAGTCCAGACGTTAACTTTTTGAGGACGTTGAGTTCGGTAAACAACACTTCTGTGCTGGTTTTCTGGCGCCGAATACCTCGTCATGGAAGCATTGTGTCAATGGAAGATTCGTCAGTAAATAAAATGTTTTTAATAAAATTGGGTTCATCATTAGCCTTCGTTATTAGATTTTCTCAAAACTCCATTCTGCGAAAGTAGTCGTCTGGACAAAGCTCCTGCGTTTTCGAATATTTAAAATTCTTGTAAACGTGCTTTTTTCACACTTTCGTTAAAGTAACACTGCTAACATTTAACTCCCTAGCTTATACTTGAACGTGTTGAAACTATCTCGACTGTTGCACAAATATACTGAATACACAAGTTTGTGTATTCCGATATTCTCTTTCCTCAACTTTTTTTGGTGACACTTCTTGAGCGTGACATTTTCTGCAATTTTTGAAGTAATTAGAACTAAATTTTTTAAGAATATTATGATTGGACTGTACTGGTCTCCCCTCAAAAAACAGAAAATAAATCTACACACTGTTGTCCAGAATTACCACCATAAAACCATTTTATTATTTGAACCTTTTTTGCGGGCGTATAAACAGACATGTTGTTTACAAAAATAAGTTAAAAAACTACGTTCTTATTGCACAACCACTTCTTCTTCTTAACATGCCATACACCAAAGTGCGTAGGCGACTATCTCATTACTAGAATTCTGTTCTTGGCGGCGTGACACAGCTCACCTGTATTGTGTATTCCTGTCCATTCTTTAATATTCCTTAACCAGGATAATTGTTTGCGGCCGGCTCCTCTCCTACCTTCGATCTTCCCTTGTAGGATTAACTGTGGTATTTCATATTTTGCTCCTCTCAATATGTGCCCAAGGTAACCAATCTTGCGTTTTTTAATTAATTCAAAGAGTTCTCTTTCCACGCCGGCTCTATTAAGGACGTCATCGTTTCGAACTCTATCCACCCAAGGTATGCGCATCATTCTTCTCAATGACCACATTTCAAATGCTTCAAGTTTGTTGCACAACTACTATCTAATGATAAATTATTGGCGACGAGACACTAAGGCTCGTGGAAAGTCGACGGCGCGCAGTGTTGCCATTTATAGTGTGTATATCTAATTTAAACTTAACGTACGGTATTATATTAAGATAATCTGATTAGTTATTGTATTTAACACTAGCGCCACCTATTGGCAGATTTAGACAAATAAGTTTTTTGTCGGCGCAGAAATACCTACTTATCAATTATGCAATAGAAGTTTTTTTAAACGATTTTAAAACATGCTACAAGAAAATAGTTTCAAAAATATTTCTAGTTGCGTACATATTTTATTGCAAATTATGTTCATATATTTCATTTCAGGATTTAAACAAATACATAAGGGGAGAACTGAACGGGGAACGTGAACTGCAAGTTATTCAGTCAATTGTAGGATATGCATTAGAACGAGAAGAACTAAGAGACGAAGTATTTGTTCAATGCATTCGTCAAGCCACGAATAACCCAAGCACAGAAGGAACCGAAAGAGTATGGTTGTTGTTGTGTCTGTGTGTGGTTTCTTTTCAACCATCCAAATTATTATATAGATATTTTGTGTCTTTCCTGAAAAAGAATATTGTACATCCTGGAAGAATTAGTCAATACGTTCAATGGTGTTTGGACAATTGCAATAACAACAAAGTTTCCGTTCGGGAGCATCCTCCATCATCAGTAGAAGTAGCTGTAAGTACATATAAATCCCCAACACTAGCTAATTGTTTATCAATTTCATCAATCTAATTACTGTTTATAACTTAGTACACGTTATATAGTAACTTAAAGCATTTTAAAACAGTTAATTTTGGAACAAACTCGTAATGAAATAAAATAGCCACAATTAAATTTTCTATAAGATACGGCTGGTTCATAATGTTTTTATTTCTTGATCAGAGTGTCCTAACGACAAAAATCAAAAAGTTGAAGAGTGCAGCTTTCTTATGCGATTTTTACATTTTGCCGCAATTATAGTCAGTTTCTATAAAAGTGTTAAATAAATAAACGTTGCTCGATTTTTGCATTTTTTACGATTCTCATGAAATCATTAAAATGTGTCACTTTTCCATTAACCAGTCACTATGGAATTTCCATTCTTATAGAAATATAAGAATATGAGATAATATATATAGAAAATAATATGAGAGAATATAGCAAGTCAAAAAATCAATACATAGTATTAAAAAAGGAATATATATATAACGTAACTATATATCATCACAAAACGTTTAGAACGAAAATTAGATTTCTATCAGTCTAAGGAGCAAGCTGAGTTTAGGAAAGGTTATGGAACGAATGACCACCTACAAGCACTTAAAATACTAATTTAAAAATGTGTTGAATATAATAAACCACTCACGTTGATTTTCATAGACTTCAAGAAAGCTCTTGATACCGTGGAATTACCGGCAGTATTAGGAGCATTAGAACAAAGCCGAGTAGACTATAGATATACAAATTTGATAAAACATATATACAACAACGCAACAGCATCTGTTAAACTCCATGACTTTACCGATAAATATAGAATTGAGCGAATAATTAGACAGGGCGACACCATCTCCCCCCAACTATTCACTGCAGTTCTGGAATATGCCTTTAAAAAACTAGATTGGGCTAAAAGGGGAATAAATGTTGATGGTGAATACTTAAGCCACTTGCGCTTTGCAGATGATATTGTCAATATAGCCGAGAGTTTAAATAAGGCTCACAAAATGATGGAAGAACTAAAACAGGCAATAGAACAAATAGGCCTGAACATAAACTTAAAAAAAACAAAATACATGACCAATTTAGTTCCAAGTGATGTTATGAGGGTAGATGGGAACGAAGTAAATCAGGTCTTTAGCTATATCTATTTAGGGCATGAAATTAGAATAGGAAAAGACAATCAAACTTGTGAGATCCAGCGTCGCATAGGCTTGGGATGGGCAGCATTTGCCAAGATGCGAGATATTCTAAAAGGAACGCTACCGATTTGCTTGAAGAAAAAGGTTTACAACCAATGCATACTGCCAGTAATAACATATGGTTCCGAAACAATAACTTTAACCAAACATTCTGCAAATAAATTGAGAGTAACCCAAAGAAAAATGGAAAGAGCAATGTTGGGAGTAACTAGAAGAGATATAGTACCAAATAGGATAGTGAGAGAGAGGACTAAAGTGACAGATGTCATAGAAAAAATTGCACAAGCCAAATGGAGATGGGCTGGACATATAGCACGTTTAAATGATAATAGGTGGACCAAAAGACTCATAGAATGGAGACCTAGAGAAGACAAAAGACACCGAGGCAGACCACCAAAAAGATGGATGGACGACTTGAGAAAAACAGTCGGAAATTGGATACAGAAGGCGCAAGATAGAGAACAGTGGAAGAACATGGAGACCTATATCCAACAGTGGATGCAAGAGGTTGAGGAATGATGATGATGATGATGAACGTAACTATATACAAACAAAAACACATATTAAACAGAAAACATTTATGACAAGTGGTTCAGTGGATGTTCTGCAATGGGTCATATATTCTTCCGAGTAGTAAAAACAATGTTTTAGAAGATATATTTTATAACTTTATCGAAACTATTACAGCTTACCTGTTTAATACTTTTTGGCAAAATATTATAGTAGTTATAATTAAGACAATTTTTTTCTGAAAGACTTAATCTAAAGCGATTTGTTCGTAGTGTGTGACAGTTTCGCGTATTGTGAACGTGGACATCAGACTGCTTTAATAAATGGGCACGTTTTCTGTGAATGTCAGTTAGAATTTGAAATATCGACAGAGTAGGTAGCGGCATAATTTTGAATTTGATAAAGAAAAGTCGGCAGTCTTCTAGATTACTAACCCCTGCTAAAATCCTGACAGCTTTCTTTTGCATTCTAAAAATTTGAAGTGCATTTGTTGAATTTCCCCATATGCTTACACCAAAGTTTAGGTGAGAGTGGAATAAAGAAAAATGTCATTTTTAATTTTTTAAAGTTGACAATCCTTGCTAGTTGGCGAATAACAAATAATGAACTTAAAGATGAGATATGAGTTGACTAGTTGAGTCGATTATCTATGGTTATTTCCAATAGTTTAACAGTCTCTTTGTTATCTGGATCATTGTGTAAATTACTTGCAGATATAACCAAATTTTGCGTTTTATCAGAGTTATATTTTAGTTTGTTTGCAGCAAACCATGAGCTAGATTTAGTAGAAAGTTCCTCATGAGACATTTTTAAATCATTTCCTGATATAACGTATGTCGTATCATCTGCGAATTGTATGGTTTTGTACGAAGATATGAATTTAGGCAAATCGTTGATATAAATAATAAACAAAATAGGTCCTCAGACCAAACCTTGTGAGACTCGATTCGATCGGGGTTTACGGATAAAAAATCGGAGATATGCCACATAGATAAGAAATTATAGCCACATAGATAAGAAATTATAAGCATAACACAAACCGGCGAAAAAATTAGCAAAATATCTAGAAAATCCAAGATTCAAATCAGTTTCCCGTCTTTTAAATCAACATAACTCTTGTTCTAAGAGTTTAAAATGGTTTATTCAGAGTGCAAATGATGGCTCAAATAATTTTCAAAATAGTATTGTCTCTAAAACTTAAGGTATAAGCCAAAAGCGATGAAAATGCCGCGGAGAATCGACACGACGGTTCTAATCAGATTTTTGTCTTTCAAATCACCAAAACTCTGGTTCTAAGAGTCCAAAACGGTCCAACTGTAAAAACGATATTTACTAAAATATCAAATCGGTTGTTTGTCAATAAAATTCAGAGTTGGTCGGTGCCCTAGTTGGTCTTGTTTGGGAACAATAACATTATAAGTTCCTCTAACGTTTTTCAAAAATCGATCATTTTGTCATAGCCTAACGTGGCAAGGAAAAAAGTTTTACATACTTGCATATCTAATCCGTTAGCATCCCGTAAATAACATTAACGTGCACAAAAAAACGTTAAGCTTACTTTAAGTTCCCACTACTGCTTGATAACATCTTCTCGTCTCACTACGTTTAATACTTCTGAACACTTCAGCATGTAGGTGTTACGGGATTTTTTTATTTTGTGGTCACTAGCGACAGATGATAATTTCTGCTTTTTTATCTCAGCACGTGTTGTCTCAATTTTTGTTCTCTTTGTAATTGTTCCCTTTTTGGTGTACATCTTAACGTAATTGTTTTCAGCAATTTCTATGGACGAAGTGACCATGTAGTTGACCATACACTTGAGTAATTGATAAATAGACGCATCTTCTTCGACTAAACTTTCATTATCAGACATAGCTGGAGACAGGCAGTCGTCATTTTCATAGCTAATACAGCCTTCTTCTGTAGACGCTGCAGACGTGGACTCGCTACAAAAACCGTCTTGCTTTGGATCGTAGTCGGGATTATTGTTAACATTTTTGGTGTTCACAAGCTTTTTATTTGCATTTAGGCGTTCTCTTAATTGTCTTTTTAAGGCAAAATTAACTTGCCTAACCACTGCAATCATGAGTCAATTTCATAAACACTAAAAAGTGCTAAAACAGGAGTACATAATATGTAGCTTTTTCCTTAATTATTCAGTAATAGAATCATGAAGCGTGGACCAGCTCCAGCACAGTTAATGTACTGAAAACAAAAACGGAACTAAATATTATAAGAGGCACTTAAAACAGTCATGGAGGTAATATTATCTAGCACAATAAATAATAATGATTAATTACCTATTATTAATTAACTCAATTATAATTATTAACATATTAATAAAACATCTGGTTACTTACTTCGAGGTATAAATCAAATTTTGTACACTAAAAACTGACATTAACGGAAACAAACACTTTCGATTTTGAGGTTATGTCGTTTTACGGTACAATGCTGAATATTGCAATACTGACTGTCCTATCTATTACAATAGGACATTTAAGGTTTGTACATATCAGATAGGACGTAATGCTTAGTAATCAGGTTTTAGTTTGAATTTAGGACAACAAGCATCACTTCAGAACAGCTATTTAATGACAGATAGGACAGCTCAGTTTTGAAAGGAAGATAAAGAATACTTTTCGCTACCGCCCAGTACTGTTAGGACCAAAACTGCGATTTTGTCAGTTAGGATCTTTCAGCTTAGCAGGGCAGAACAGTGGTTAATATATTGAAATTTTTAATTCTGAATTTAGCCTTCAAAGAGCCAGGGAATGATACATGTAATGCATATGTTATCAAATTCAAAGAGTACCTTTTAAGAGGACATACCCACATGGAGGTTTATGTACGAAAAGAAAGACAAAACAAGTTTTCCGGCCAATTTTCGTTAATAACTACATGGGATTGGTAACAGCTTTTCAGACTTTGTGGCAATAAATCGGAGCTAGCGGAAATGGAAACCATGGACTTTAAGAATTTTATCCATTTATCTAACAAATCCCGATCTTATTTTCACAATAACAAAAAACACACTATACTATCGTTGTGGTGTCGGGGATAGGAATTTCTCCATATAGTTTTTGTGGAGTTTTGCGTAGACTAGGCGCCCTCCTGTAAGAACTCAATTTCACAAGTTCACACCATACGAAATTATTGTAAAGATCTATTTTTACTGTAGTAAAATTATATAAACTGAGTACCGTTCTCGTTAAATAACATTATTTTTTATTATTTTCAAGGCCATGAAAAGGCTTGGTACAATAGTATGCAGATTTTTCTTCCTGGATGGTCGCACTAAAGCAATAGATGTTCATCCGACAGATACAGCTGGAGATGCAGCCAAAAAATTAGCAGAAAGATTAGGTTTAAGAAATTTGGAAGGTTGGGCTATTTACCAAAGTCGACCTGATGGAGAAGAACATGTTAGAGCTCATCATTATTTATATGACATTATAGCCCAATGGGAACTGTAAGTACTAATTTTTCATCAATTTATGTTTACTTCTATACATACAAAATATCCTAATAAGTTATAGCATTGAAAATTTTTTTATTATCAATTTTAGACAAAAAAAGTTATTTACAATAAGTTCTGCAAGTACTAAAACCAAAAAACCCACCCATAGGTTTATTTTTTAAGTCGTATACGACATTTTTCAAAAAAACTATTAATTTTGCTCAGCAGTAAAGTATCTTTATTTTTGACAATTCTAGTGGTACCCTAAGGTCCGATTGTTCGAAGGCTAATAAAAACTTGACAGTAATCAAATATTTAATTAAAATCAAATTCGTCACATTTGGAGGTTATGTTGACTGATTTATTTTATTGAATTTTATTATTTAGCGTTTTAATTTAAAATAAACCATAATTATTAAACTCTTTCTGATATTAATTTCATGTTTTTATTTACAAATCAATAATAATAAGCAATTTTTAATAATATTGACAGATGCTGTGACTTATTTGATTGTAATTAAATATTTGATTACAATCAAGTTTAGATTAGCGTTTGAACAATTGGCCCTAAGTGTTTCTCCTAAATCGGGACCAAACTATTTTAAATTCTTGTTATAACTTCTTGTTATAAAAATAATTTGTCAATACACACGACCGGTGGTTTACAAAATTTAAAACTGCAATGTGAGAACTCGCTCTGGTCGTGAACTATAGTTGGGCCGCCGATCAAATAGAATTATCACGTAAACGCTATGCGCTGGTTACGAGTTGCAGTTCCCAACGTCACAATCAATATGGTTTATACTAGGTCAAGAAGAGAGTGAATGCGGTAAAACCCATAATATACATATTGAAAACTTAATTCTATTTTTCACCGTAATAATGGAGTTGTGATATTGATAATTTATTATTGATTATGTCGTATGAATAGTGTGACCAACTTGTGCGAAAAATCATATCAAATTGAAATTTCTGTATTTTAATTATCGTCTTCTGAAAAGACGATTCAAAAACAATAACAATGCATGTATACACATGAATCATCTGTGTTACGAGGCATGCTGCATACAACAATGTAATGAATTCTGATCAATGTTTATTTTTCGGTTTTGTCAACCATTTTAAGTAAACAAACTTCTTGATTTTGTTCTCGCTATTTAAAATCAATTACATCGAATGATTCATTTGCAAACCACTACGTGCTTTGAAACAAAATCAAATCTGTTTCGTTGCAATATGATTTTATGTAAAAATTTATTTTATGTCAGTAATCAGTATCAAACCGCAAATAATGCAAGTTAAATAATCAATAAAATGATGATATTAAAGTTCTATATTAAAAAAAAATGGCCAATTTTCATTGAAAAGTCCCGGATTTCAGGTATTGTTTTTCAGCCTTGACCCGAATTCGACTGAACTGGAGTTTTTTCAAGTTGGGCGTATTAAAAAAAAAAATAATAAAATATGACAAAAAGAGGTTATCTTTATTCTTAATTAATAAAAAATTAATTACTATTGGTGTCCTCGGATGAAGTTTCGTCGTCACCTAAATTAATAATCATTGGTTCTAACTGCTTTTCTATAACAAAATCTAGTTCCCACAGCTTGGACATTATGCCATCTACATATTTGATAGCATTTTTCAAGGAATCCGATATAACATTACTCAGTGCTTCGCTGAAAAGTACTGTTACGTTATTTAATTTATATGTGGTATTTTTTCTTGCAACTTCACCCTTCACGTGGGCCTATATTAGCTCAATTGGGTTTAGCTCGCAGTTATAAGGGGGCAATATAAGCTTACATCTACCTGAAGACTTAAGAACTTTATCTACCACATACTTTTGTTCTATGAGATCACTTTTTACTAGCGTTAGTAACTCAGCTTTGACAATGTCGTCAGTAAATATTATATTTTTTTGTCGCAACCATTATACATTTTTTATATTCTTGAATATTAGCTTCTCGCATAGCACAATTTGGTATCTTTTCGTATTTTCTGCTATGTTAGGACGCATTATCTAGGACAAACTGCCCTTTTAGCTAAAGTTGGCTAAACCGTTTGTAGCCACTCTTCAAAAAGGTTGGAATTTATGTTTTCATGGTAGTCGCCATTTTTTTGGATTAAAAAAAGGAGTCTTTTCCACAAATCCATTTTTAGATCCGATATGTAAAACAATTTGTGCCTTTCCAGAAGGATGTTTTAAATCTGTACAAAGGTCTTTAACATATGCTTGTCGAGCACTGGTGATTGACATGTCAGTCCAGACTCTGCCAACAGTATGACCAGCGTTCACCCAAGTTACATCCAAATAATAACTAGTATGGTCTTCCTGCATATATTGTCTTATAGATCGCAAGTATCTTCTCCTCCATGATATAATTTCATTTTTTTCCCTTTAAATCACTATTTCGACATCTTTTCTTGAACCTAAAGCAATAATGAATCATAATTTATTCGTCTTCCGGGTTTGGACCGTGTCATTTGTGAGTGACCCAAAAGTGGGTTCATCTCGACGTTTCGCTACAATTGTATGTAGCTTCTTCAGGAGAACAAAGAAAAAGAAAAAGAAAACAAAAGACAGGAAGATGCGTAGTTAGCAACGGTAACTCAGTTACTCAACGCAACCAGAGGCGAATACTAACTACCAAGATGGGCATTTGGTCACAGTAACAGGTAGTTAGTATTCGCCTCTGGTTGCGTTGAGTAACTGAGTTACCGTTGCTAACTACCCATCTTCCTGTCTTTTGTTTTCTTTTTCTTTTTCTTTGTTCTCCTGAAGAAGCTACATACAATTCTAGCGAAACGTCGAGATCAACCCACTTTTGGGTCACTCACAAATGACACGGTCCAAACCCGGAAGACGTATAAATTATAATTCTGACTCTGGCCGTGGAAGCCTACGATCTCAATAATGAATCAGTCCAGACAAAAGGTTTATTATTAGAGAGAGAAATATACTTTATTAATACATACTATATACCAAAAGACCATAGACCGAAGTCTTTCAGCCAGTTTATTATTATTTATATGAGATTTAATATTAGTTAGATGGTATTAAAATTGTACTGCCCGAAAATTAATTGATTTTTCAAAAGTTTTTTTTTAAGTAGTTTTCTTTGAATTTGGAATGTTAGGGTTTTCTGAAAATTCATAATTTTTTGAACCGTTGGAAGCTCATTTAGTAAAAAGGAACTGTGAACAATTCGTCAAATCATGCTCTTATGTTCATCGGTAATTTCATCAAGCATTTTTTTCAATCTTTGGTAAGGTTTTAGAGGTTTTAATTCACCATTATTTTGGCGATTTTCTTTTAATATATTGTAAACAGATAATTTGTCAATACTTAAAATAATTTTTATTAATAGTATTATTAATAACATAACAATATAAACAATTTACCTGTAGCTTCAGCAGTGAATTTAATAAAACCTTCGCAGCCCTTCTCTGCGTTTAACTTCTTAGATGTTTTTTTATATGTATTTAAAATTACACATTTTTTTAACAGCAAATTTTGTTTTTTTTTGCCTTTTTCGTGGAGGCGAATGAATATTTCCATACATATTTAAAACAAACGATAATTTAACACAAAGTTTTTTTAATTTGTTATCACGCGGCCTTGGGATTCTAGCTGTTCGGCGGCCCAATTTTAGTTTAATAAACACGTAATTGTATATAAATTTGATAACATCCATTCACGATTATTATTAGAATTGTCGGTGTCTGTTGACCACGCAGATGTTCGCTGACATACGTCAACATATTGTTAAATTTGTCTCCGAGAAATGTAAAAAGTAGCAGTTTCACCAACTCACACCGGCTATATCTCACAATGTCGAAGATTGTTAATACAAAAAGTTTATCAGAATTAAATATCACATTCAAATATACGATTTTTTAAATAAAAAATCAGTTTTTTTACCAATATTTCCTACTTTACTAATTAATTTTAATTTTGTTAATAATTTAATGAACGTTTATCTGTTCCGATTAATAAAAATACGATCATCTTTCCATTGCTTAATTCCCTTCAACTATTTTACAATTTAAGTACGTAATAAGTGCATTCGCATTGCTGTCTATAACCGCAGTCCGGTTTCTAGAAATCCATTTTTAGATCCGATATGTAAAACAATAAGTCGTTTCCCTTTCCAGAAGGATGTTTCAAAGCTGTAGAAAGGCCTTTAACATATGCTTTTCGAGCACTGGTCATTGACATGTTAGATCTAGACCACCTTATAGATACACACTCTGGATATGTCTTGATCGGTGTTGTTGAATTGGACTATCCATAAGCTAAGTAAATATTTATGTAGGAATAACAAAGAAATCCATTCCTGTAAGCTCCAATTCACAAGTTCAAGTTAGCAGTCACACATATTAATGTGCAATTGTATGCACAAGTTGGCGACCTAATCCTGCCACACATATATTCTAGTAAGGCTAGTTACGTGTTGAAGGCCTCCATGGCTTTCAGCAACAATATCCAAGTGTTCATTTTCAGTTGTCAAAATTACGTACAACATCAACTTTTGAAAATCCATAATATAAAAATATTCACAGTCCTTAATAAATTCAGACGCTCAATGTCCAATTGGATGATCAATGTTTGCTCCATGTCTTTTGTGGAAAACAAGTTAAAAACCATACTCAATAATTTTCCCAGCCCTTTATATTTGATTAGGTGCTAAATTATGACGCTCAATGATCAACATAGTGCAATTGGATCATTCATTTTTGTTTCATGTCTTGATTTGTAGAAAAAAAATCAGAATTTTACGTATTTGTATGTGTTCATGTTTTTTTATAGAAGAAATTCCAATAATAATTGTGTTCCTGCGACACTTTTAATATGTTTGTTTACAAATTAATAATTTATTGTGTTGACAAAGCTCTACTAACACTTGATCTTGATTGTTTAAAATCATAGGTTTTCAATCCATTATTATGTTATCTTAACATTCTAGGAATCAAAATAAGTTGGTACCACAAAGTGGTTTATCGACGTTAGGAAGACGAAGCGGTCAAACCGTGAGTGGAGGAGAAAATAGATTTATTTTCAAAAGAAGGCTCTTCAAATCTAGTCGTGAACTTAGTCAAGATCCTGTAGAAGTTAATTTAATGTATGCTCAAGCTGTACATAGTGTTGTTAAAGTAAGTACTTTTTCAATTCATAATACTCAAGTTATTCACTATCAAGTGCGAAATAATCATTATTACACCACAATATTGAAAATGTTTTTATTTTTGATTTTAAATTTTTTGAAATAAATGCGCCCTAACAGCCTAAACATGGGCGATGATGATAAAAGCCTACCGGTAACATGGCCACCGCTGCTTCAGCATCACCCGCATATACCGTTCATGCGCATACTGAGTGTATAAAAGCAGCGACACAGGGTAAGACCTGTCGTCGCTCGGCACTGAGGACTAGGCAGATTGAGACCTCAGTGCCGGTTGATGATTCTCGTATATCTGAACTATAGAGAGAATAAGATACTGCGATGTCATGAGAATGGGGAGTAAGCGGATTGGGACCCTGAACTCCAACTGAACCATATCCCTCTTGATAATGGCACCAAAATGGATGCCGAAACGAGAACTTATAATTTTCATTCACCTGGCTGCAGACATTTTTCCGAACATTTCATTCACATCTATGGGGAGGATTTTTCATTTTTACTAAATCTTTTTTAATCTTCTTACACGCAAATACAGAGTTCTCTGTGACCTTGCTTTCTTTAAATCGCGTCGTGACCATCAAGTCATTCCAAAATATCTTCAAATTAAACATCGCATTAAATCTCCATCCATTTTTAAAATTCTTAGAGCAACTGGTTTTTCGATTCGAAATTCAATTCATTCCACCTGATGCAAATTAGACACAACAAATTCCCGTCTTTTCAAAACCATATACTCTCACAATATCCATCCATTATTATGTGACACTTTCGATCATCGTTCTCATCAAAAAGCCCTACACATTTCTGACAACAAAACCCAAACCCAGAAACGCAAACTTTCCCAACTTATCAGTCAGCAAAATCCACAGCCCCTTTCGAATCGACAACCTTCTACTGCTGTACGCAATTTCTCAGATATTAACATACCCGATTCAGCTACTAAAGCTCTGACAAAAGGTTTCAATTTTTCTGTCACTCCTCTTTCCATCCCAACTGAGAAAATTATTTGTCAAATTGAAGAAGCCATTTCTCATCTTCATTCCGACCAAGCCAAAGTTGCCAGACAAGATTTCGCAAGAATTCTTCGTACTTCTAAACCCACATAATCAGTCTTTCAAGTGCCAAAGACGTGCCAATTTCAAAAATCCATATGCCCAAAGTCCCCCATCGTCAGTGCATTCAACTGCCCCATTCATAAATTAGCAAAACATCTCGCTTTATTCTTACAATGGGCGCGTTCAGCAGACGGAGCAGCTACCGCTCCGCTACTTCCGAATCCATCGTAAAGCGCTGGACCAAATGTCATAAGTCAAAACCTGCTGGATTCCGCTACCGCTACCTTATCTGTCAATGTCAAATAATTTGTCATTTTAAAATTAAATATTTTGTTTATGTTTTAGATTGCCAATTTAGCTTGACTTTTAAATGTTATTAAACTTTAGGCCACATTACTAGCGGACAAGGAAAATAATATCCAGCTAATTGGAAATGTTGTGGATCAGTTGGCACAAACTGAAGAATTAGAGCTGAATAATGCTGAGAGAGCTCAAGTGCCTCCTAATCAAAATTAGCAACTAGGAAATTTAGGAGTTATACCCATTGGAGCTACAATTCCTTTAGATAAAAAAGTGCTGTTCACCACCTGGGTTTTAGCTAAACCAGAATCGTTTGTAGCCTGTGGCGACAGGTTCAATATAGCCAAGAGTACAACCCATAGTGTATTTTTAAAGAAATTGTGTCAGCAATCTTATTATTAATGCCTCATGCCTCAATATATAATGTGGCCAGATAACCATAATGAAGCAATAATAGACTTTGATCCACAGACTTTCTGAAAACTGAAGATGAAACGCAAAGAATGGGCAAACTTACCTCAAGAACAAGTTGATGCTTTGGGCATCTGACTATTAAAATGAACAACAAGACTGTATCTTTTTTTAGTCAACCATTGCAATGTTTTCATTTGTTCGTGTTTTTGTTAATTTAATGCATTTGTAACATTTTTTTGATTTTTTTTATAGTAATTTAGCTGGTTTAGTATAAAATGTAGTTCATTTTTCATTAAAAAAAATTTAGTGATACTTTACAAAATCGGAAATACTGGGTGATTCCATGTGTATATTATTGATTTTTATTAATTATTATTGATGTGTGTATATTATTAAACTATATCCCATACATTTCTTGACAACTTTTCTCCATCTTCTTTAGAGGTGATAATTTAATTTAGTATTTTTGCCCAGGTCTATGTACAGTTAACTTGTTTGCATCTGTAGGTAATATAAATAATAATAAAAAATAAATAAAATTTGGTTTATATGTGCAGCTTGTTGGGACTCAATAAAGAGTACTTACTCTACCAAGACCACCTTGAAAATCTAAGAATGGTTGTATATGTAGCACTGCCAATGATATTCTTGCATTTTCCTCATAAGCCTTAGTTTCCTATTATTCACTATCATTATGTGCCATGCAACATCACAGAGTATGAAGGAGAGTAGTTCTTCTGTGATGTGGGTATTGTGATATATCTTCCTTTTTATGTATGGTGCAAGTATTCCAATCGCTGGGGAGGGACTGCTGTATTCATATTTCTTTTCTAGGCTGCTGTGATGCCACTGCCAGTGATATTCGAACTACCTTCTTTATATAGATCTGCTGGAAAATTAGTTACTCTTGGCCCAATTACTACCTTATAAATATTTTTACTTGTTAATTGAAAAATATGACAGACCCCTATTTTATATTTGATGCCATTCAATCTAGTGTTATAAAACATAAAAGAGAGTGGTAGTTTTAGGTAGTTAGACTCAGTATTACAGAGTTATTAGGATGTAAATGTAAGTAATAGAATTAAAACAGTATTAACGAAATGAGTGGAGTTTGGCGTGATGGAAAAATACTAATAAAGCTAATAGGTAATGTGGGGGTTTAACAAAATAATGTACTATTACGAATTAATAGTACTAAGATTAATACCAGCTATTCCTTCGATAGCTCTGGCAAGATAAATGAACTTTCACTCATAGGTGCAAATAACAAATAATATAAAATTTAAATGGTTGCAAAAACAATCAAAAAACAAACAAAGGTATTAAACTAGGTGAACTTACCGAACCGCTAATTAGGTACCATAATTCACTACTATAAAACCAACCGATTTCGATGCATCGACGCACTCGCGAGGGTTGTGTCTTGCGTCTATTCTGCTCAACGACTTAAGCGCTTGTGTGCTACGGGATGCATAGCATACCCGAACGGTACGAATAGGGATCGAAGGTATACAGGGGGAGGACAAAATGTCTTGATTAATTTATACAACCATATTTGAATTTAAACATTCTCCCCCCTTTAAAGGCCATAAGGTCTTTAAAAAACAAAACGAATTCTAAATACTATCATTACTTAAACAATCAAAACGATAATTACTACAAACAATTCCTATACAAATATTAAACAAATATTCAAAACTTAAACTAAAAAATAAAAAAATTAAAATTAAAATGGTGGTTTTGTCGTGGTTCTATTCATAAAAGCCGAACAAACAAAATCAGTAAAAAAAATGCTGACCATTTAATCTTCATCTATCGGCACGGGACAGACTCGGACAAGAGGCCGTTTTAAGGTTCCGGTAATCGTACGCACGGTAGCCACTCGAGCTACACCGTCTTTACCCTCATGTAATTCAACAAGACGCGCGAGAGGCCACTTACACGGAGCCAAATTATCCTCCTTTAAAACAACTAAGGTGCCGATTTTAGGTACAAAACTAGGATCTAACCATTTACACTTTTGTTGCAAGGTGTGCAAATATTCCTTTCGCCATCGAGCCCAAAAGTCTCTATGGATGCGCTGTAACAACTGCCATCTGGACAAACGATTGAAGGATACCTCCGAAAAATCAGGCACAGACAAAGATGTCAAGGGTTCAAGAGTCAGGAAATGTCCTGGGGTCAAAGCATTGAGATCTTCAACATCATTGGTTAAAGGGGTGAGAGGGCGTGAATTTAAGACGGATTCAATTAACGTCAAAACGGTATAAAATTCTTCGTAAGTCAAAATTTGTGCCCCGACTATACGACCAATATGTTCCTTTACAGAACGAATTCCGCGTTCATAAATACCGCCAAAATGTGGAGCAGCAGGAGGAGCAAATGAAAACTTAATATTTTCCTTATCGAGAGCGCTCTCCATAAAGCTACTAAGCTGTCGATAAGCACTGTGGAAATTAGTGCCATTATCACAAAATACTTGCGATACTCGACCTCTCCGAGCGACAAAACGTTGTAAAGCGGCCAAAAAGGCTTCCGCGGTCAAATCACTAGCTAATTCCAGATGTAAAGCCTTTGTAGCGCAACATACAAATAAACACAAATAGGCCTTTTGAGTTCTAACTCCCCTGTAACGAGACATGGTTATCGAAAACGGTCCACCATAATCTAACCCACAAATCGAAAAGGGTTTAATGGCACCGAGACGAAATTTAGGCAAATTACCCATAGGGGGTTGTAAGTTTTTGGGAGATTGTTTCCAACATCTAATACATTTGGACAATACTGAATTAATGGCTTGTTTAGAAGACAGTATCCAAAACCTTTGACTAATCAAAAATTGAGTACTCTTAAATCCAGCATGTAAATACTTCTCATGATAATAACGAACTAGGTTACGAGTATCAATACTACGAATGTAAACGACACAAGCATATCCCTTTTCACTAGCATCGGCAAATCCATGAAGCTCTAAGATGGGACATGAAGAAATATTCAAAAAACGAGGAATTTTGAATTGTGAAATAAGAGATAATTCGCTCTTATATTGTTCCCATACACGAATTATTTCCGAAGGAGGGCGATCATCCCATTTAAGACCGGTTGCCCAAAGTTGTTGGATTAAATGTTTAATGAAAAACGTAATAGGTGTTAGGTAACCACAAGGATCATAAATTCGAGCTAGTTCGGACAAAAACGA